TGTACATATCAGTACAGTAGGCCTAGTTCCTTATGTTGACCAGTTTGTTACAGTCCCTTGGGTAGTCAACTTACAGAGGGTCCACTCTATTTACAAACCTAAAACATCTTGTTCCTATATTATCTACTGAATTGCCTGAATATATCTAGTCCAGATACTATAGGGTTTTAAACCTGGTGTGTTTGGCACAGCCATTTCAGAAGATAAATTCAGGGCTTTCATTATGGGAGGCAGCAATTTTTTTTTCTTTGGAGACTGAATCTCATTCTGTAACCTGGGCTAGAGTGTTATAGCCTCAGCCTAGCTCACAGCAACCTCAAATTCCCAGGTTGAAGCAATCCTCCTGCCTCAGCCTCCTGAGTAGCTAGGACTACAGGTGCCCACCCCAACACTTGGCTGATTTTTCTAGGTTTAGTAGGGAAGGGGTTTCACTATTGTTCGAAGCTGGTCTCAAGCTCCTGAGCCCGAAAGATCCTCCCACCTCAGCCTCCCAAGCAATTTTTTTTCTTTTTTTTTGAGACAGAGCTTCAAGCTTTCGCCCTGGGCAAAAGGCGCCCCTCCAACTCCTGGGCTCAAGCAAGTCTCCTGTCTCTGCCTCCCAAGTAGCTGGGAGGCGCCTGCCACAATGCCTGGCTATTTTTTGGTTGCAGCCGTCATTATTGTTTGGCAGGCTGGGGCTGGATTTCAACCTGCCAGCTCAGGTATATGTGGCTGGCACTTTAGCCACTTGAGCCACAGGCGCTGAGCCAATTTTTTTTTTTTTAAGAGACAGGGCCTTGCTCTGTCACCCAAGCTAGAGTGCAATGGTATAATCACGCTCATTGAAGCCTCAATCTCTGAGGCTCAAGAAATCCTTGTGCCTCAACAACCTGAGAAGCTAGGATTAAAGGTGCCTGCCACCATGTCTGGCTAATTTTTATAAACTTTTGCAGAGACATAATTTCCCTATATTGCCCAGGGGGTCTCAAACTCCTGGGCTCAAGTGATCCTCCCCACCTTAGTCTTTCAAAGTACTAGACTATAGGTATAAGCCACAATGCCCAGCCTAGACAGCTAATTTTAAGACCTTCCTTTACTGTGGAGAAATAGGGTATTTATATTAAAGATGAGAAAGCAAAAATGTAACTCTATAGTAAAAGTATAATGGCTACTCTGTTAGGCCAGCATGGTTAAGGCCGAATAACATGTACTGACTAGCATCTGATCTCAAAGAAATCCAACATGCCAGCAAGTTTATTATTTAGTCTACAAAACATATTCTGGCTTATCAAGTGTTTATAAGAAGAAGGAGAACACATAAAATATTCTTTTCAAATAGATATTTATACACATCAAAATAACCCATTGTAGCTCTCCTTTGCTTCAGACTTACGCTCCAATCTTTCTTCTCTTGCTTTGAGTGCTCGTTCTCTCTCCTGTAACTGAATTTCCTTTAGCTTCAGCTCATTCAATATAGGGCTGGAATCCTGCAACTTTTCTGGCTCTGCTAATCGTCGCCCTCTTCTCTCAAAATTTCTTTTTTGCTCTTCTGCAACCATGTCTGCTATCAAAGGGTTCTCAAGAATTTCTTCAACAGAAGGTCGATGGTAATCCTGGGAAAAAATACTTAGTGTTTTAGTCAGATTGCATAACAGATTAGTTGTCCTAAGAGAGCAATGACAATAAAGGGTGTATATGTGTATGTATGTATGTGTGTAGATATGTATATGTATGTATGTGTGTGTGTGTGTGTGTGTGTATGTGTATTTCCAAGGCAAAAGAAAGGACTCCTTTATGATAGGTCTTAAATGCCTGGAAAAACCACCAGTGGTTTTAACTCAGGAAGTTCTGGGTCTAAAAGGTAATACAGATTTTAACTTACCTCTTTCCTCCTTTGACTTTTTTACCTTTCTAAGAAGGCTAACTCCTGAACTACTCTGGTACATCTTGTGGGGGTGTTTGGTAGCATTGCAAGGGTCCATTTTAGAGGAAGGACCTTCCTTGCATCTCTAAACTACATTAAGCAGGATATTCTCTTACCAACCCTCAATTCTATTACTTTACCTGTATCCTCTGTGATCCTACATCATTTTCCTTCTGCTCTTAATCAACCTGATCCCTAGAACATCTCCCTCCTCATGCCATAGCCAGAGTTTGTCCAAATAATCTTTCTATGCAAATTATTTTCTCTCTGTTCTTTTTGACTGTCCTTTCAGGTCTCTGATTTCTCAATTAGAACTAGAGACAGAGTAAGAAAGTCTTACTTCTGGCCCCTTCCCCTACTATCTACCATTTTGAGGTAGTCAAGGACAAGGGGGAACTGAGGATTTGGATTCTTTTTACAATCTTTCCTTGCTACAAACCATCTGCTAGAGTGGCAGAAGAGTGGGAAGAGAAATAAAGAAAGCACAGAAGGTAGGCCAGCAAGGATGTGCAATTTGCCAAATTTACATATGTTTTCACTTGTGTTAACAGAGTATATTTAGCAAAGAAAGCATATTTAATGTTTTTTCAGCCTCCATTGCTCTAGAAGAGAGAATATATACTCTAGAACTTAACTGAGCACTAGAAACAGACAATGTATATAACCCTGTCTTTACCTTCAAATTTAACATCCTCGTAATAATTTCATTCAATTCATCAGAATAACGGTATGGAATTCGCCTAAACTTGCCTTCTCTGATCTTCCCAGCTAATTCCTTCTGGTTAAAAGCTGTAAATGGAGGCCTGGAATTTAAAAAAAAAAGAAGAAATTTTCAAATTTTAAAAATGAAAATACATAGTAGAAACCAAATCAAAAGCATCATTTAAGCTCCAGTTTGTATTTATGTTTCTAATTCTGGGATTTTACTCTATAGCTGTTTCCCAACTTTGGCACTGCTGCCATGGCTCATGTAATTCTCTGTTGTGAGAAAATGTCCTGTCCATTGTAGGATATTTTGGAGCCTTTCTGTCCTCTACCCGCCAGATGCTAGGTGCATTCCCAGTTGTGACAACTAAAAATACCTCCAGACATTGTCAAATGTCCCATGAGGGGCAAAATTGCTTCTCCCTGTCCCTGGTTGAAAAATACTGCACTACAGAATAGTTTGGAAAGAGGAAAAAAAGAGAACCAGTTGGAGCTCTTTCCTGTTCTCCAGATGCCCCAGACCTCTCCCCCTGGTCTTTGTTTCATTTCTTCCGTATCTTTACAGTAGCTTTACCCTACCTGTCTGACTTATGCGCTCTCCACTTGAGCTAAGCCTCAGTCTAACAGGAAAACACCCAATCAATCAAGATAATCAAGCAGTAAAAACCCAGCTTCATAGATTATATTTTTAATTTGTAAATAGTTCTTTTTAACCTGTCCATCTACCTTAATTTTAACCTGTTAGTTCTTTCAGACTTGAATATGCATTCATTAGCATGGATACTCAGAAAGCTGAATCTAGTGAAATGTAGCAGTGCAAACCTTAAGACTAGGAATCCATCTTTATCATACTTACATTAATGCACACAACTCATACAGCAAACAACCCAGTGACCAGATGTCTGATTTCTCATTGTAGGACATGCGACTTATTTGTTCCTAAACAGGGGAAAAAGGTAAAAAAGTGGAAGGAGTTAAGAGTTTATATTGTTTTAAAACTTATGAAACTTAGAAAATTATTGCCTCCAAGATTTTAGCCTATATTTTATCTTCAAATTTATAATGCAAAAAAGGCATTATATTTTCCCAATATACTTTGTCATATATAATTTATTCACTTATTTTTCACTCACAAATGAAAGTGCTTACTATGGGCTATGCACTAACAATTCGTAGGTGACTATGAGAGATCGCTACGCTCAAGGTGTTCATAATCAAGAAAACAATTTTAAGGGAACCAGAGACAGCTGGGAGCAGTGGCTTATGCCTATAATCCTAGCACTCTGGGAGGCCAAGGCGGGTGGATTGCCTGAACAGGAGTGAGCCCCTATCTCAAAAAATAGCTGAGTATTGTGGCGGGCTCCTGCAATCCCAGCTACTTGGGAAGCTGAGGCAAGAGGATCACTTGAGCCCAAGAGTTTGAGGTTGCTGCGAGCTATGACACCACAGCACTCTACCAATGGTGACAGAGTATGACTCTGTCTCAAAAAAAAAAAAGGAACCAAAAAAATTTTCAGAAAACTCTATCTAAATGGATACAAAAATAGCCAATATGTAAATATCCATTTATATATTTTTTTAGTCCACTGCAATAACTAATATCATTATTCTAATTGTTTGCCTTTCTTCCCCACCTACAATAACAAGTCTACCAAAAGCTCTTATTCCCAACAGAGGGAAAAGAGACAAGTACCACCAAAATCTCCAGAAAGCTGCTTATTGTTTCACAGTCCAACAGGTGAGTCTAATACCACTTTCTGACAATTAATGGCTTAGGGAAGCTGAACTGATCTAATTACAAGGGCAACAGGGAAAAGGAGAAAAGGAATCACACAGGTTTCAAATTTTCCAAGCACCACTACTGGATAATTTTCCTTTATTTAAGAGCTTTCTATTTGGAATTTGATACAGTGAGAAAAACGGCACTGTTCTGTCCATGTCTGATTTTAGTCAAAAACAAAATCACTAATTCACAAAGATTTATCCTACAGTCAGATCTGTTAACTTAATTTATAAAGCTTTGGAAAATCCTAGAAATGTAAACTACTAAAAAAATGAATAAATATTTCTCCATCTTTATCTGTTCAGATTTCATTCACTAACATATTGGTGCTATCACTACTGACTGAAGTTTTTAAAAGCCAACAGGCAATACCTAACAATATCCACAAAATGTTCATGCCTTTTACCTTGGCCATTTCATCTTATGAGCCATACTCTTAAGAAAAAAACCAAAAGGGAAGAATAATTTACACAAAGAAGCCGAGCAGTGTTCCTTATAATGATGAAAAATTTTGGAAACAAAATATCCAGCAATACAGAAAACAGATAAGTGGGTGGACTCTGCAGAAGCATTCAGGAAAAAGCAACAAAAAAAGAACATGTATATACAAAAGTTAACATCATAAAAAATGTTATCTGAAGTAAGTGAGCTTCCTGAGCCCAAGAAACTCCACGCATAAGAATTAGTTACAGGGTCAGTTAAATGCAAAGGCCAAATAAAAGTGAGGTGCCAGAAATACACTTATTCTGATCTAGCAATCCCATTAGAGTCCGGGGACCTGCCCAGAGATCCAAATTCACTGGATTTGGGTTTGGTGTTCAGGACACTGCCCTTGAAACAAACGTTCCAATTGAGTCTGATGCAGATGATGATGACCTACAGTTTGAGGACAAAGACAAAACTCATTTCATCTTTGTAATCCCAGAGACTAGTACACGGTAATAAAAACTTGAATTGCTGATATAGAGGAGTTTAAATGGTCTGGTGGCCCATGTGGAAAAAGCATATAAACGTAAAATGAAGCAGTATTGCTAATTCTTGGCTACAAGACATTACTAAACAAATAAAACACTCAATTTCCCTGTATCTGAATGCTTAGTATTAAGATATTAAAAAAGTATCTAGGCTCGGCGCCTATAGCTCAACCGGCTAAGGCGCCAGCCACGTACACCTAAGGTGGCGGGTTCGAATCCCC